GTGGATGCACATCTTATACAATCCTGTTTCTTTGCCTGATATATTACTCTGTTTTCTGTTACTATAATGAAATACTGGATGGCATATATTTTATAAAGAAAAGAGATTTATTTAGCACACTTTTAGGGGTTCAAAGTCCAAACCATATGGCATCATCTCTAGAGAGAGCCCTTCTGTTGTCATGATGTTATGGCAGACAATATCTTGGTGCGAGTACATGCAAGAGGGAGCTCATGGTGAGACATGAAACCAGAGCATGGATAGGGGCTTGATAGATCTTGGAATCTCTCAATAATTTCTACCTACAATCTCTTAAAATTACCATAGTAGGTAGTGGCCAACTTCTGACATATGAATCATTGAGGTGGGTTGGGGAACACCTAAACCATATCCAGACCATAGCACATGGCTTCTAATCTTTTTAAGCATAAAATTTAGAAAATGTATTACAACAATTCTCTATACTGATCCCCCACTCTGGAGGGATGGTGCACATGTCGTTTTTTGGGTATTTGTTGAATGACTGATGGGTTATTTTAGAGAAGTACATTTCTCCTTTTGTGTGACCCTCCAATAGCCTCAGAGGGTGCATCCATGGACATGTGCAGTTGTTCTGTCATAACTGGATTTAGCAGAGCTCTCCTTCCTCTTTCCACTGATCTCTGTTGAACTGTCTGCCTCTATTTGTATCATACCTAGCTCTTAGTTCCACTGAGTTCTGATTGATTGCTTTATTGTTTTTGAAAAAGCCCTGGGATATAAATAGTTGTACAACGTGATTCAGTTAAATTTGTATTTCTCTTCATTGGTAGATTTTGAGGTGAGTTTTTGCAGTTTTTTTTTCCCACCCCAGGAGGGCTTGTCTGAACTGTCTTTTCTCCTGATGAACTGTCTACCTTCATGGTTTAGTTTATTGCTCTCATAGAGTTACTTGGTTCTTCGTAATTTTTGTTATCAAAATCTTAATTGTTCTTAAAAGGACTCTTAGACTTGAACTTCCCCCACATAGGGGTTCAGATAAGATAAGTTTCTTTAGGAGAAATTGTCCGTTCATATGACTGCCTTTTCTTTTGGGAAAATTCTCTGGACCATGGCTCCAGAACTTAGGATAGTGACAGTGGCTCACCTTGAGTGACACTACTCCTTAATAAGCAGGTTTGCTCATATGCAAACTGCACCCCATGAGTGAGATGAGGTGAGGGTGAAGGTCCCCAGTGTAAATGATATGCTGCCCCTCAGGCAGAGACTTTGCTCCCTGAGTATGTCTGATTGTACCAAGAAAGACCCTGAACTCTGGGCTGCAGTTTCCTGGAGTTTAGTCCCTGAATAGCAAGGAGTGGCAGTATGAGAAATAGTGGCATTTGCCCCTCCATGGGAGATAACATGGCCTTCAAGTAGGGCTGGTGATAAAAGGAAACATGTTTTCTTGGTTGAACTCATCTGAAGTGGAATGACTTTGACACTGAACTGAAGTGGGGAAAGGGAGGGGTAGTTTATTTTTCAAATGCTATAGATCCTTACTACTCTTTACAAGTTTTAGTAGATTTTCTTCAATTAATATGCCTTCATTTGTTGTTTGCCTTTAGGACAATTTCCTGAGATTTTATTTATATTTTATTAGAGCTTTATAAATATACATAGTAATGGGTTCATCCCCAAATAATCATACACACATGGAAATCAATTCCAGTTCACAATATCCCCTTTTTCTCCCTAACCCCCTCTCTTCCCCCATTCTCCTTCCTCTACTCTGCTAGACTTCGTTTTTCACTCTTCTGTTTATATTTGATTGATTCTTTTTTACTTACACAGAAAAGAGGAATTCCCTGTGGTATATTTGTATATGCACATAACATGAGTTTTAAAGAATATCTTTCACATTGCCTCCCCTTTTCCATCGCTCCACTCTGCCTCTTTATCTCTTTCTACACTTTTGATCTTCCCTATATCTTTGCATATTCTATTCTTTTCTTCTCTTCTCCTTTCCTTTATTTTACTCTAGCTTCTGAATATCAGAGAAAACATTGGACATTTGGCTTATTTCACTTAGCATAATATTCTCTGTTTCCATCCATTTACCAGCAAAGGCCATAATTTCATTCTTCTTTATGGCTGAACAGAACTCCATTGTATATATATATATATATATATATATATATATATATATATATATATACACACACATACACCACAATTTCTTAACCTATTCATCTGTTGATAGGCATCTGGGTTGATTACATAATTTAGCTATTGTGAACTGTGCTGCTATAAACATTGAGGAAGCTGTTCCAGAGATTTTAAATGGTTATTTTTTTGTCACTAGTTTTTGTCAGTTTGTTTTGCTGGTTGTTGTTCAGAAGAGGTCTTTATGCAACCATTCTGGGAATGATTTCCTAGTGGTTATGTTTTAAAGACTTGCTTGAGTTGGGTGTGTTAGTCATCTTTTTGTTGCTATGACAAAATACCTGACAAAATCAACTTAAAGGAGGAAAGATTTACTTTGGTGCATGGTTTCAGTCCATCATCAGATATTTACAATGCTATGGGGCTGTGATAAGGCAGAACACTACAGTAGAGAGGGTTTTGTTGGGCAGAGCAATAGTTTGACAATAATTCTTCATTGAGTTACTCAGTTCCATTTAATATTACTTATACATGTGGTTATAAGTGTCTTCTACCTTCTGTGTTAAAAAAATACATTTAAATGTACACTTCATCTTTGGATAAATTTGAATCTAAATCCCATACTCAGAATAACTGAGTTGTAATTCAATCTCTTCTCTAGATTAACTATGGATTTTAAGCAGGGTACTTATCTGCCATTAACTTATTTGATCATCAAAAATATTGAGCAAATAGTAGCTGTTTATAAGTTAAACAATATGATGTTTCTGAAACCATTTGACCTCTAAAATCTTAAAATTGAGAGTATGTAATTATCATTTTAAATCAAATACACAATAAGTTGAATTGTTGCTTTTCTCATTTTATTCTTTCCATACTGATAAATAAATTTATAAATAAAATAAATAATAAATTCAATACTAAGTATAAAATTTATGTTAGAAAAATATAGTTTATATCATTTCTAAATCCTTCATATTATCATGTAATAAATGTTCTTATAAAATCAGCTAAGATATTACCTAGAAAATGATTCCTTTAGATCAATTTATTTTGGAATTACAATAATAGAAGGGGAAACAACATTTTTAGCATATGTATTATAGTATAATTTTTTCCTTTATCTGTTAAGTTACTTTGGCATTTGTGACAGTATTTTGAGATCCAAATATGGGTTCATTTTCATATGCAAAAAAGATGAACATTATATAYTAATTTTCAAAGAATCATAAAATCTCGATTTGGAAGATGATTTGGGGGTTGGTCAAATCTAACAGGAATTTCATTTTTAGGACTTATCTAAAATTCTTACTAAGCCTCCACATGAAGAAATCATGGACAGAGAATTGCTGTTGCACATAGCCTCTGGATTCCATTTTCACTCTACTTTAGATTTTAGGGTGTTTATAGTTTAGAAAGCATGTTGTATCATGTATTTTATTTATTTTTTACTATAGTATTTTGGTTTAGGTTATGGCCCATTTTGCATGTGAGGAAATGAAAGATCAAAAGGATAAGCAGTTTGCTGAAAGTTATATGACCAATAGATATTAAGAACCAAATTCATAATTTTGAATATCTTATTTCACAGGCATGGGCATATGCTACTCACTTGGTGTAATATGTCAGAAATTCAGCAAATTCTCTACTTCTTCAATTCAAAGCATTCACTGTTTAGGAGGAAGGAAAATTCATAAAGCAACACTTCTGTTTAGGTTGGTGGTCCCTGGTAGAGATATTTGTATGTTCTAGGACAATCAGATCTATGCAAGTGCTCTACTACTTTTTTTTTTCCTCCCAGAACTGGGATTGAATCAGGGCCTTGCACATACTAGGCAAGTGCTCTAACACTGAGCCACATCCCTAGCCCCAGAATCAGATTTGGATTAGTCAGGGGAATTTTCCTGGGAAGAACAAGACTTTTGAGATGTGCATTGTTTTAAATGACTGCAATAAAGTTAGTGTGACTTCTAATGCAATCTTAGCTGATATTTTTTTTGAATATCTGAATCTAAATTTCCCTCCTTAAATATCTACAAACTTGATTCTGCATTCTCCACTAATTCAAAATAATTAAATTCCTTTTCCATATGAAAACTTTTCAGCTACTGAAAACCTCTATGTCTCTTCTGTATCTTTTCTGCAGGATTTTCTTCAGGTATTTCATATTGGTGTTTAACATGTAAAAATGCTGAAAGTTGTTGGGGAAATGTTAATTGTCATCAATAGTTCTTTTCCTGTGGCGGAATTATAATTTTGTAGTAGTTGTTAATATTTATTGGTTTATTTTTCCTGAATAATAATAATTATTATTATTATTTTGCCAAGAGTTCCTTTTGGAGAATTATTAGAAAATATAGTAGGAATCACTCCACTTGTATTTTGTCCAGATTAGGTAACACTGACATTTAATGTTACCATTTTAACATTAGGTAAGACAACTATTTGAGGTGACATGTCATGTTTTGGGTGTATTTTGAGCTTTGGATCAATTCATGCCAGTAATGTTATTTTCTTTGTTAGTTTTTCTCCAAAAAACAATTTTCTCCTTTTCACTTTTTCCAAATAATTTCTGTTTTATTGGGATTTCCCCATGTAGTTGCTTTCTTGTTAAGCAAAATACAAGAGTTATCAGWTTTATTTATTTTTTAAACCCTCTTGCTAATTTTGGATCTAATTTGTTTAGACCTCATGTAATCTGTTTTCTTTCTCTCTCTCTCTCTCTCTCTCTCTCTCTCTCTCTCTCTCATATCATAAATTTTATATCCTAGTTGAACCTTTCTTTAGGAGGGGAATGGATGATTCCTAAATAAAATTTTGATTTTTTAGTGCCAACATATTTACATATTGTTATTTATTATTTATTCTGTCTTCAGAGTATCCTGGCTTTAAATCCTCGCATGCAAAATCATGCAACTCTGCGTTCCACTTCGGCCAAGAAATTAGACAAGAAACATTGGAAGAGAAACCCCGATAAGAACTGTTTTGTAAGTACAACTGATAACATGATTTCCTGATGAAAATTTTCTCGTTCTACACCGTCTAAGACAAGATTTTACATATACTTAGAAATACAGTTAAATATGTGTAAAGTACAGCTGTGATTTTTTTCATATATTACATATTTTATATTTGAATATTATAAAAACTTTAATTCTGTTTTTAAAAAATCTTATGAAACAGTTAGATTATATGAATTTAGTTTGATGCAGAATTTTCTTTTCCTGAAAATCCTTAAAATTTGTTTAAAAATTATTTTGTGCAATAAAACAATGATATGAGAGTTTCTCTTTTAGATATAGTCTAACTGATGGTGGTTGTAGGCATCTACAAACTGTTTGAAAATGCGCTCTTGTGAAATTTCTGAACTTTAAAATGTTCAGTATAAACAAATAATATTCTCAGGTGAGGTGTAGGAGCAAAAAAGAATTACTCTGAGGTTTTTGATGGCTAGAACTTTATTTGACTGAGCCTATGAAGTTATCCACAGAGCTGGGACTGTGAGGTCATAAGCGTTATAAGGACAACCTTGAAGGCAACATTTAAAATACTATCTGAGGGATATGTAAGTGTTTAAATTTGGAAAGAAGTTTCCTTTTTACTCTATTTCCGCACAATTGATTTTTCCAAAATAATTAGGGAAACCATTAATATTATGAGCTTACTTGATATTGACTCTTTTGGTACTTTGTGTATAATGTCCTGTAATATTCATGATTATAGTGTTGTTTTCTCTCTCTACATTCTAAGGATGGGAATTGAGGATGTGTGCTCGTGTGTATGTGTGTGTGTGTGTGTGTGTGTGTGTGTGTGTGTGTGTGTATTTAACTACTTTTAAATTTTTCTATCACTGGCAACCCAGCAAAGTTTTTGAAAGCAACAAAGAAATAAAAACACAAAGAGACAATATTGCATATGGCATAAGAAAACCTTATAGCCACTTAATAGCAGACCTGGATTTGGAATTCAGTTTTCCTTGTTCTACTTCTATGAGTTTTGCCTTCAAATTTCTAGTACAGGTCTTTGGAAGGACACTGATATGGTCTGAAGTAGATCAGGTGATAGGCTGACTATGTACCACGTCCTTGCAAAAAGATCTGAATGATTGAACTGCATTCAGAAAAGAACCATGTAATTTTCAAATATTTCTTGAAGAGCACCAAGTTTCAGTCTCATTTTTAAATGTGTGAGACCTTGATCCAGAGAAATTAGATAACTTTCTTGAGGCCTCTCTTTCATAGGCTATCAAACTATGTTAAGAGTTCTATTCAGAAAAAAGTTTCCTCTATTCTGATGGTTACAGTTGTTAGATTATTTCATGGAGATTATTTTTATTCTATAATATGATCCTACAAATTAACTCTCTTATATTTAAAAAAATATTGGTGAAAGTACAATGAGATAGGTCTTCTCCATTAAACATGTATTGATACATATTTTTAGTTAAGTGTATGACAGTATTTTTGATAACGTTCATTAATACCTTTGTTAGTTGCTAGGGATGCTAACAAAGTACCACAGTTTAGGTGGTTTAAAGAATGCAAATTTATTTTTACTATTTTGGAGACTAGGAGTCTGAGATCAAAGTGTTGATTTGTTCCAGAGGCTCTTTCCTGGACGTGTGGTGGCATCTTCTCCCTGTATTTTCACAGTCTTCCCTCTGAGTGTACCTGTGTCTAAATTTCCTCTGCTTATAATGATACTAGTTATATTTGATTAGTATATACCCAAATGACCTCAGTTTACTTAAATTAATTCTTTAAAGACTGTCTCCAAATACAGCCACATTTCAAGGTACTGAGGGGTTTGGATTTCAACATATGCATTTTGGAGGGATACATTTGAGCCAATAAAAATATCTTTTAAGTTATCAAACACACCTAGTAATTCATCTTCTAGTAATAAATCTGAAGGAAAGAACTAGGAATGTAGGTGAAAATTAATTTGAGTTGAAAGAGGATTATCTGAGCCATTTTTTATTCAGTAGAGAAAATTGTAGGGGAAAATATACTGAATTCCATCCACTGGGTCTTGGTAAATTTGAGCAGATCCATTTGCTGGTAAATTGTGCAACCATTCCAATTATTTTTTAAATGGTTAATAATCTGGATGAAAGCTCAAATACACATTACATTGTAAAGGCAGGGGCACCACTGTAGTCAGTAGTGATTGTGTGCACTTTTACACACCCATGTTTTGGCATGAATCCACACAGAATAAAGAAAATATACCAGAATATTAACAGTGATGATCTCTGCTATTTTGGCATTTCTGTACATTTCATATTTTCTACAATGAGTAACTGTTAGTGAAAAAATAAAATGAAAGGTTTAAATATATGGTAAAATAATAATCTCATTTGGTAACATCATATTAATTACTGTGGACAGATAAAGTCTATTGACAAAGTAGTGAGGTTCATTCCCAAAGGGAAAATATGGAGCTAAGGTTCGAAGTTAACCTCAGTGCACTTAATGAATGTTCTTCCTTTCACTTTTATTATTATCCTCCTTATGCTTGCATTAAGAATTGAATGAAATTATCACCAAAAGATACTTGTTTTTTAATTTAGGAGTTTTTGTTCTTGTGTCTTACAATAATCTAAATTGAAAATGCTTTGTAGGTAAATCATAAAATGATTTTGAAAGGTAGAAGGCAGATGAGCCAGGGGTACAGGAACTGAAGAAATCAAGTCCTTGAATTTTCTATTTTCCACATATATTCAGAGCAAAGAATTTGGAAGCCTGGAAATGCTAACAGGTATACACATGTAGTAGCCCCAATAAAAAACTGCTGTTTCTACTCAAAGAACCAGGAAAGGATCAGCTGAGTAAAACAGAAAACTCTTAGGTAGGAACTGAGGAACTGCTCTGCTCCAGCCAAATCCTAACAACAACAACAACAACAACAAAATCTGGTCCTTCCCTGATGCGTTAATGAAGGTGAGTTGGGAACCCAGACTTCTATTAATGAGATAATGGGATGCCCCACACCCCTACTGTAGTGATGTCACAAGAAGAATAGGGAACAAGACTTTCATCTCCACTGGTTAGCTGAGCACCAGTCACTAGTTTCCTCCACCACCTGGAGGAGAGGAGGGCAGGGATGAAAAAAGAAATAATGGCTAGAAGCCTCCCAAATTTGACAAGATATAAAGTTACAGATTTAAAAACCTGGGTGAAGCCCAAAGAAATCTATAGGAGGCACACATAGTTAAAATGAAAACTGAGGACCAGAAACTATCTTGAAAGTGACCACCACTCTTTCCTCAAGGAAGAGAACACTGTTGTGTGTAGCTGTGCCCCAGCTCTGTGGATCTGGCATTGACAATGAACTTGGCTCAGCCTTCCCTCCCTTTTAACTTGCTTTACCCTTCCTTTATGGATTTTCCAGAAGATTTTCTAACACTTGCTCAGTAAATATGTATACCCAAATCTCTCTTGAAGTTTGGTTCTATGCAAAATAAACTTCAGATTCCTAAAATTGTCATTCTGGTCCTTGTTATGGGGAGCTGCTTCAGAAAACACCTAAGTCTGAATTCAGATCAAAGAGAGTTTTATTTATCTGGCCAGGGACTTTCACCCACCCACAGTGCTTCAGTCTCTGTGGGAGAAGAGCAATTTCCTGGCCTGTGTCTTGGGAATTTAAGGACAGAAACTAAAGTTCAGGGACTTTCCTTAGTATCATTCAAGCAAGCCAATCATAGAAGCTAAGAGAGCAATTAGCACAGCAACTCAAGACAATTGCATCTTGGGTTTGAGCAGGTGTTGAGACAACCTTATCCTGAGTTCCAGCAGGTGGGTAGTGGAAGCTAGAATATACTTCAAAGTCTTGGATCACCAAGACCACTATATCCTGGGTTGAGTACATTTTGTGGGGTATAAAGTACAGAAAACAATATATTATAAGAAAACAGCTTTCATTTCAGTTTCTCAGAAACAGCTCTTGTAACATAATTTTTATAGAAGGCAGCAAAATGGAATCTTAGGCCTGTCTATGACAGTTCTTGCTTTATAATTGTCTTATCTCACTTATCAAAAACTTATAATTATAATCTATATTTTTACTAATTTATAACCTATAGCTTACACTCTTATTGATTGTATTTATCATTTCACACCACAACCGTCCTCACCAGCAGCACTCTCTTTACCCTGAAGTCTTTTCTTCACCTGTAGTATACTAGACTCATTGGTTTTCTTCTTACTTCATTGGCACCTCTTCTTGCTCCTTCTTGACTCTTTTATAAGTCCTCATCTTACTCCTAACTATGGCTTAAATCTCAATTGATCTTCCTTCCCTTTCTTCTTTTGAAATACTAATTGGTGATCTTATTTTGTCTGTTAAAGTTTAATACCATCTTTAGACAAATGACTCCTTCATTTCTATCTTTAACTTGCATTTCCATCTCGGGCTTTATAACCAAATGCCTGTTCAATACCTCCTCTTAGATGTGTAAGAAGTATCTCAAACATTTAACATGTTGAAAATCCCAAATTAGTATCTTGCCTCCAAAACCTGTTTCTTGGAAATTTTCCTATCCATTCTTTCACTTAGACCAAAATGTTAAAGCATTTGATTTTTTTTATTTCTTTCACTATCCATAACTAATGAACTAATCAGATGTGTCTTCAAATATATCCAGGATTTGACCTGTTCTCACCACCTCCACCAACACCAACATTTTTAAGCCACCACCACCATTTCTCACCTGGTTTTATTGCAGTAGCCTTGAAATGATCTTTGTACTTAACTACCTTTTGTAGTGGAGAATATTCTTCACCCAGATGAGGAATACTTTTAAAAATTATATGCTTACAACCTTCCAGGATTTTCCAGCCAACTCAGGGTTTGCATAGCTTCCTTTGCACAATTTTCTTTGCACAATCTCAGCAAGGCCTTCTTTGGCTGCACTATTTAAAACTCTAACGTTGGGCTGGGGATGTGGCTCAAGCGGTAGCGCGCTCGCCTGGCATGTGTGCGACCC